GTCTTTAACAAAACTGGTTTTGAATAAGCTATTAATTTTTAAAAGGCTTTATTAAGGTACAATAGACAAAATCAAAATGTGTCATTTGTATCTGATTTATCTTACTTTATATAGTGTTTTTCACATGTATGCATTTTGGAGCATGTATTCAAACTCCATTCCCTTCTCATGGCCAAATACGCTTCCACTGTGTATATATTTCACATTTTGTTTATCTGTTGATGGACACTAGGGTTTCGTCTACTTTTTGACTATTGTGAATAATGCTGCAATGAACATTGCTGTACAAGTATCTGTTTGAAATGTCCTTTCTTTTGGATGTGTATTAGGAAGAGAATTACTGGGTCATATGGTAATCCTACTTTAAATTTTTGAGGAATTACCAAACTCCTTTTCACAATAACTGAACCATCTTACATTCCCACCAGCAATGTATGAGGGTTCTGTACAGTTTCTATACATTCTTTCCAACACTTACAACTTTTCATTTTCTTAACTTATAGCCACCCTAGTAGGTATAAAAAAGGTATATCTTTGTAGTTTTCATTTGCATTTCCCTAATGACTAATGATGTTGAACATTTTTTTCTTTTGGCTGTTGGAATTGAACCCTAGACCTTATACATGCTAGGCAAGCACTCTACCACTGAGCTATACTCCAGCCCTGAACACCTTTTTATATGCTTATTACTATTTACATATATTCTTTGAAGAAATGTCTACAAATTCCTTTCCCATGTCTTTGAATTGGGTTGTTTATGTGTTGAGTTGTAGGAGTTCTTTACCTATTCTTGATATTAAGTCAGGGGCACTCAACCCTTATCAGATACATGGTTTTCAAATATTATTTCTCATTCTTTATGTTGTCTTTTTCACTTTGACAAATTCTGATTTAGCTGTTTTTCATTTTGTTGCTTATGGTTTTGGTGTCATAGCTAAGAATGCAGTACCAAATGCAAGGTCATGGAGATGTATCCCTCTGTGCTTTGTCTTGGGTATGTCTGTGGCTTTCTAATATGCATGGTGTTTTTCAAATGCCTTCATTTCCCAAAGAAACTTTCCCCAGCTTTGGTTCCCCAGACCTCAGGCAATCCTTTGCCCAAGGAATCTGTTTTCAGTTCAGCTTGCAAAGTTTTTAAGTGATGGCAAACGCTTCTTAGCCTGAGATACAAGTGAAGGGAAACAGAGATAAACACTTGTGTCCATCCTCGTGTAGCCCCAGATAGGTTAGAACAGATATACTCAAGAGTTTACAAATAAGGTCTTCTCTTTCTAGAACCAGGGAATAACAGGATCCTGCACATGCGGAATGTGGACTAAGATGCTGCTGCACAAAGGGAAAGAGGAGGGAAGGACAAACCAAAATGCCACTGAGTGTTCCTACTACTGTGAAGTTGATTTTCTTAATTAAGCATTCACTTAGTTGTTGTAAAGCTTTGACTGATTTTCAGAATTCTTTTTTTTTCTTTTTTTGGGGGGTAGGGTGTGTTGGGAATTGAACTCAGGGATACACAACCCTTGAGCCACATCCCCAGCCCTATTTTGTATTTCATCTAGAGATAGCGTCTCACTGAGTTGCTTAGTGCCTCACTTTTGCTGAGGTTGGCTTTGAACTTGCGATCCACTGGTCTCAGCCTCCGGAGCCGCTGGGATTACAGGCATGTGCCACTACAACTGGTGTGATTTTCAGAATCCTGATAAACTTGGTTCTGTTCTTTTTTTCTTGATTTTCAATGTTTCTATGGGAGGGCAGAACACCCACAAGCCCTATAAATTATTCTGATGTAAGCTCTAGTTGAGAACCTGTGGTCTAAAATAGCATATGGCCTTCAAACATGGCTCATCTTCCTGGGGATGCAGCTGGAGCTTTTTTGTGGCACTCTAGCATCTCTATGTTGGATTCTTTGAGAAATCCACAGCAGGCATCTAGAGTGAATTGACTTCCACTTATAGCTCCCTTTCTTCTTCTCCCCAACAATAGACACTCATGGACACTCACAATTGGTTCTACACCCCTAATACCGGTGAACTTTGACCTAAGTGAATCACAGTCTAAGTAAAACCAAACAGCTATGGCTGGATATAGATCTTGGCTTAATCCCATTCTTCAGAGGTAGGGTTACTGGTCTTATTAGCCATGGAAAAGTACATAGACCCCAAATTCAAAGACTGAAGGAAATTCAAGTGAATCCCAAAGAAATAATTTTCTTGCATAGTAGAAAGAAGTTTCTACTAGTAGGAGAAGTTCTGATAATTGTGCAGTTTGTAAATGACCAGGGTGAGGGCAAACTGGGGGATCTGTTGGGACACCCCATTTGCATTGCAATCATACTCTTTTGAATCAGGTCATATTCTTTCATGGGGATTTTGCCAGTGACTAGTGGAGATTATGTGGAGTTTAAAGCCCCAGCTCTCCCCTAATGTGAACCCAGGTTTCTCAACTCTGGTTGGCCCTTAGTTCTCTTGGCCAATAATGACTAATGATCTGCATAAATGGGCTTGATGGGGTGAAGGAAAGGATAAGTTCTATGAGTCAGCAAAACTCTCCAGCTTCGCTGTCCAGGGACAGGGTTCTCCTTTATAAGTGTTAGAGATGAAAAGTCTAAATGGCAGTCACCAGATCTATAGGCATGCACACCCAGCCCCCTGCACTCACGTGGTCCCCTGAGAGCCCACATACCACACTCCCCACACACACATGCTGTGGGCCAAAATGTAGCATGGTTCTACTCTAAAACAACAGCAGCAAAGCATTTATTTCCCCAAAAGGGATAAGGTCACAAGAAAAGGCCTACTAAATAATTAACTAAATCTATGGAAAAGTCATTTTAAAAATGGAGTTTTTAGGGCAAAACAACAACTTGGTGAATGTTTGGTTACAGTTTATAGCTACTTCTGTTGCCCTTGATACACTACTGTGATTTTTCAGCCTCCTTTGCCAATCTTGCTCAGTACAAAGATTAAAGTCCAAATATGTGAGTGGATTGGGCCTATTTGCACCTTGATATGTGGGCTCTTATGAGCCCAGTGAACCTCTGTGTTGATTTTTGTCAGCAGTTACCCTTGCAAGGGGAGTAGGAACTATGCCAGTTAAGAAAACACAGCCTTTTTCAAGTGTCCATAGATGAAATTTTATGTATGTGTGATACTGGGGATTGAACCCAGGGGCGCTTTACCACTGGGCTATTCTAGTGGCTTTTTTGTTTTGTTTTACTACTGGGGATCAAACCCAGGGGTGCTCTATTAATGAGCTATATCCCAGCTCTTCTTATTTTTGAGACAGGTTGTTGCTAAGTTGCTGAGGTTAGTCTTGAACTTGGAATCCTCCTGTGTCCCAAGTAACTGGGATTATAAACATCTGGCACCATACCTGGCCAGAGCTGCAATTTAATAGGGGGAACAAGTTGGGAGAGTCAAAAGACCAAACAGGAAAAAGTGAGGGCACCCAGAGGTTAGCAATAGTAGACACCTGCCTATTACCCCTAAGGGCTATGAGAAGACACAGAGGAGGTAATGTTATTGTAGTTCAGGTGCCAATTTCATCATAGAGGCTGTAAGGTAGAGGGCATACATTGGAAGGAGGGCTTGTTAGAAGAAACTGGAACTTAGGAGGGTGTCCAATTAGAGATGCCACTTGAATTAAAGGACAGTGCTAGATATCTTTTGAGTTGTTCATCCAGCATCCATTCCTACACTGTGATTTTCTTTTCTAGGGATTTGCCCCTTTTCCATTTGGTACAATTTTGGTGGTACTGTCAATCAAGATGCTGTAGCCAATCCTAACCAGGTCTTGGGTGGGCAGGTAATACTAAGTATGCCAAACACATCCTCTCTCAGGAATTTGAATCTGGAGCACAAAGACAGAAAATAGTTGAACTGTTTCAGCCATATTGTGGTACCTTGAAAAGACCATGCACTCCATTCCTATATGCCCAGATTCTCAGAAATACTCCAGTTCTTATTTAATTCTTCCCCAAAGCCTCTTTTAATACTTCCATTAAATTCCTTTATTCAGCCAAGTTTACTTAAGGCTACAGTTTTTAACTACAATGCCTACCATCCCCCCATACACCAAGTCTTTGTTTCCAATCCTCAAAACATCCACCTTCCATGCCTCCTTGGCATTAAGAATGTGTACTCATCCTTCAATACCAAATCCAAGTGTCAAGTCTTCTGTGAAACTTCCCAATCCCCTTCCTCGCCAAGAAAATTCAGTTGCTTATCTCCTCTGGCTTCCCATAATACTACATAATGTCTCTCTTTCAGTACTTATCATAATATCTGCTTATTCATTACTTGTCTTTCTCCCATCTATAATGTGAGGTCCTTGAGGGTAGAGCCATGTCTTATTTTCTCTCTGGATTCTCAGTACCTAGTATCTTGGCCCATAATGAATGCTTGATTTAAAAAGCATTTATATGAGCCAGGTGCAGTGGTGCATGCATGCAATCCCAACAGCTTGGTAGGCTGAGGCAGGAGGATTGCAAGTTCAAAATCAGCCTCAGCAAAAGTGAGGTACTAAGCAATTTGGTGAGACCCTGTTTCTAAATGAAATACAAAAAGGGCTGAGAATGTGACTTAGTGGTTGAGTGCCCCCAAGTTTGATCCCCAGTACCAAGAAAAAAAGAGTCTAAACTGCAGTCAGCAGAAAACAAAGACAAAAAAACCCCAATTTACATGAATGTAGGAATTTATAACCCTGCCAGCATATTTTCATTTAATTATAATGAAAGCTTAAGTTCTTTCCTTCCTGGCACTTAAAAGGGTTCGGAGATCATGGTCATACACACTTAAAGGGTAGAAATAAATCCAACATATTCCTTCAGTAAGAAGGACTATAAAGAGATACTTTTAAAAAGACAGAATAGAAAGTAGAAGAAAGCATATAAGGGAGGAGACAGAGTGTAAAGAGGTCAGGAGGAGTAACAGCACATTACAGAGCTGTACAAGGAAATACCTGTCGCGACCCCTTGCCGGCAAGGAAGACGCAACTCAGGAATCTTCTTTCAGCAGTTTATTCAGGCCCCTGATATTTCTTCTTCTCTCTCTCTGATGCCCCTCCCAGCCTTAATAAAGCATCCCAAGCCCCAATGCAAAGCTGCCGCGTGGAGCTTTCTCACAGGGTGGTGAAAAATCATGTGCCAACTCTCCCAGATAAGGAGTTGTTTGTCACAGACCACAGCGGAGCCAGCGTCATCTTGTAATGGCGACCATAATCTGCAGAAACGGCAGAAGCGGCTCACCACAGTTCCCCCTTTTCTGTTTTCTTAAAACAATACAGGCGAGAGTAGAGGTCCTATCCCACTGTGCAGAAGTGGCTGCATAGTATGGCTCAGTCCTAAGGAGGGCCCTTCCCCAGATCTGAGGCCATATCAGCTGACGCCTTTTTTCGTGGGGCGGGGCGTGGACGCGTCTAACCCGCATGCAATAGGACATGCTCTCCTTGAGGTCCACGTCAAGGATCACTCAAGTGCAGTGCCTTGCCTCGCATCCTGTATCGTGACGATGGTGGACGAAGGGGGATAGCTGAGGCTGAACTGTGGCTGTTTATAACGACAAACAAGTTGACAGCACCCTGAAAGAAAGGCACGGACTTTAAGGCGATAGAAAAGCACTAGTGTGGAAACCCATCTGCGTGCAATGGCAGTAAGACCGGCAGAGTGCAAGGGCTTTCCAACACTAAGAGAATAACAAGGAAAGTCGTGTCGATCCCAGTACAATGTTATAATAACTTGGGGTGTAACGACCATGACAAAGGTTTACTGTTTAAGATGCGCAAGCCAGACTTGAGGCGAGTTGCCATTTTCTAAAGCTGCAAGAGCTTGTATGATCATAGCCTTATCGTGAGCACTGCGGGCCTTAAGGCGACAGAGAAACCACAAACAAAGTACAACACCGAAGCAACACATTGCACCAAAAATGCCCACTCCCACCCATTCCTTAAAAAAGGAAAAGGCAGATGATAGCCAACTGGTGAATTGACCCAAAGTCACTGGTTCGACACGGGTGCTATTCGGAACAGCAATCTGAGTTAGTTGAGACTGGATCAAGTTTTCTGCTTCCATGGACCAGGTTCCGGATAAATATTCCCCGATGATGCGGGAGGCATTTCTGGAATCATAAAATCTGACAGAGGTTATACATAAATGTGCACGTTGATCAATACAACCCAAATGTACTAGATCAGACAATTCCTCAACTTGAGCTTGAAGCAGATCTATCCTTTGATTAGCAGCTAGAATCCCAGATAAAGTGTGTTGATTAATTTTACTTTGAGACTCAAGTATGGTGGATGTTTGTTGAATAACCTGATTAATAGTGGCAGCAGTTTGTACCTGGCTGGCCATGGCTACTCCAGCTGTAACTGCTGCAGCAGCAGATATCGCCACAGCTGTCACCATAGCTGCCGTAATTCCAAAATCTCTACGGGCTCCAATCAGTTCAACAATAGGAAATGACTCTGGATCTGCAGTAACCGGGATCGGGACAAAAGTTGGAATTTTCATAACCATTGCCATAGGCCAGGATCCATTCCAACACTCAGACAAATAACAGGTAATATTAGAACAATTAAGCATCCCCTGTAATGTAACATTAGCCAAAAGAAACAGGAACGGAGATTGGAGACAGACTGCTGCAGAGGGTAATGTAGCATTAAACAATTGTGAATTGTGTGAAGTAATTTTAAGTCTCCTACCTCGCTCCGAGTCTTGGGTACTGCCAGAAACATTAAACAGCCAACTTTGGGCTCCTAATATTTCCCTGGGGAAACACAAGCGCGGACTAGACTAGCCCAATCTGAGGGAGTCATGCAAAATCTAGTAAGTCCCTCCACCTGAGTGAGAGTGAAAGCGGCATCTATGCCATAAGTGCGGACAGATTCTGCCAAGGTTTTAATTATCTTAAAGTCTAAAGGCTCATGATATCTTCCCCTGTTATTGTCCTGAAATACAGGGTATGCAAGTCCCATATCTGTCTTAACTGTCCTCCAAACTTGTGCATGAAAAGATCTCCCGGAACCTTGGCTCCCCCCCACATACGGAGGTGGGGCAATCGGCACCATATCTTCTTCTAGATATTCTACCTCCTCCTCCTCAGAGTTTTGTTGACCGATGTTAACTCCCTTCCCCTTCTTACAGTAGGCCTGCGTGCCCTGTGTCTCCTTTTTCTTCTTTTTCATTTTTATCTTATGTAGTTGTTGTAACAATATATCAAGGTCCTCAGAACTCTCTGAGTCGCTTGTGTTCTCAGGCGTTTTTAATTCGGTCAAGTCTGGGTAGAGCCTTCTCCTATTTTTATCTTCAGGCTCTTTTGCCTTCTCACTACTGTTACTTTTAATACTCTCTGCCACTTCACTACATGATCCTTCAGATTTTTCCTCATGCAGTTGCTCAAGAATAGCTTGACCCTCACTTACAGCTTCCTGGCATTTACCATCTGTTATACATCCTCTAACTAACTTCCAAAGTGGTATAATGCCACCCTGCAAGGTACCTTGCTCATGAGCGAAATCTAGATCTTTCCCTAATTTGTCCCAGCTGGGAACCGTAAGACTCCCTGAAAAAGCAAACCAAGGAGCCGCTATATCAGCTTCTCTTAAAAACATCTGCAAAGTACTCTGCTTTATCTTAAGTCCTTTTGAATGTAACAACCCATCTAGGGCCAACAAAATTGGGCTTGAAGAAGCAACGCCCATAATGTTTTTAGAGCTATAAAGAAAGTGAAAGTACAAAAGTCCCCGCTCTCTTCCTTTTACAGGGGAGCGTTCCGTTCTATGAATTCCCCGCTCTCTTCCTTTTACAGGGGAGCGTCCCTGTCGTAACAACAACAAAAGAAGCACAAAAAACAAAAGCGAAAGTAGAAGCGAAAGTACACAGTGCAGCTGCAATAAAATGTAAGGCTCTCTCTGTGTTTACAGAGGAGCTGCCCCGCTTTGGTCGGGGATCCCACTTATCTGGGACTAACCGGTGCACCACCCCTGACTGCTGAAAGTTCTGGTTCCCGGGTCTCGGCACCACTTGTCGCGACCCCTTGCCCATAAGGAAGACGCAACTCAGGAATCTTCTTTCAGCAGTTTATTCAGGCCCCTGATATTTCTTCTTCTCTCTCTCTGATGCCCCTCCCAGCCTTAATAAAGCATCCCAAGCCCCAATGCAAAGCTGCCGCGTGGAGCTTTCTCACAGGGTGGTGAAAAATCATGTGCCAACTCTCCCAGATAAGGAGTTGTTTGTCACAGACCACAGCGGAGCCAGCATCATCTTGTAATGGCGACCATAATCTGCAGAAACGGCAGAAGCGGCTCACCACAAATACCATTTGGGGCACAGAGATATGGAGAAAATTCCTAGTGTTCCCCTTGAGATAGATTCCTTAGAGATGTAAGGAAGGTGAGTCCAGTGGTATATTGGTAAATATTTGACAAACAGCTCTTTGGGCCAGGTTGTTTCCCTCTAAGGGGAAGGCCTTAATTTGTAAAATTGTCCCCATTACTTTTTGTAAGTAATCCCACCATGGCCAATTTCAAGCTACCAATGTGGTATCACTGAATGCTGAGTTAAGAAGATACACTCTGTACTATATTATTATCTAGGATTTCCACCAAACTGAATTAAACATGGTAGTCGTTTAATACTTCAACATATTTTGGTCTAACTTAATGTTGGGTTCCACCTTCACAGGATATTTTCACTACTGAAAAGAACAAAGAAGAAATACAGCTGAATACCTGGTATTATAATTATAAAAGTCCATAGCACATGCTTAGCACACTGCATACATTCATAGATGTGCACAAGTGCTAATGTGAATCTCCACAAGACTAGGATCCTAATTAGAATAAGACATACTTCATGTTTGTACAAATATGTCAAAATACACTCTACTGTCTATCACTAAAAAGAACAAATAAAATAAAAACTAAGATGATGTATGTATGGGGAGAGGGAGCAGGGAAGGAAAGGGGAAGTACTGGGGATTGATTTATAATTTGAAAAAAATTAAAGGAAATTCCTAAAGCAGAAATTCAGGCATGGGAGGATTCAGCTGAATTGAAAGTTTCCCAGACCCAAATTCAATCAATGTCAATCATCATTTTGTAGTGCTACTAACAATAATTTATTTGTAATATATCACCACATTTGTAAAATAGCTTTTAATGGATGTGTGTGTGCACATACCTATAATTCCAGCCATGATTCTGTAGACTTTCTGTTACTTTCACCAAAAGAGAAAGTCCCAGTTCACAAATTTAAGTTGTTGGGAATGGCAGAAAGGATTTGATGGCTTTGGCAGATAGTCTTAGATATTTATATTCAAATAGAACATTAACTAGAAATTGTGGAACAATTTCCACTAAAGACTAGTTTCGACACTTTGTCAGATATGAAGATGATAAACATTTCACACTTACAAGCTGAAAGTTTGAAATGTTTCAATTTGGAAGATACTAGCAAATGGATCTAATCTTTTCTTTGGTTGTATTCAGCTCTGAAAGGCATTTTTCCCATTTCATTTCAGCACGTGGATGTAGTTTTAGAATATGCCATTTTTTTTTCTCTGATAAGGGAGAAAAATCACCAAGTTAAACTCTCAGTGATTAAACCATTTGTACCACATTTAAGACACCCAAAGAAATCCTCATATTTAATATTTAAGCCCTGGAGTGATAAGCTCAGGCTGTTTAAATGTAGAATATATTGCCAAAATATCCCTTGAGCAATACAATTGAATTCATACAGATGATTTTTTTCTCGTGTCATCACTATTATGAAGAAATTCTTTATGTTCCACAGTCAAAAAAAAAAAAACTTGGGGGAATAGCTTTCCCTTGCTAGTCTTCATAAATCAGTGTAGAAAGACAGACTTTTTTGTTGAAACACATGACTAAACCAGTCAGGGTTTAGTCATTCCAGGTGAAATGGGCTGGCATGAAATAATCACACAGAGACAGAGAAATACTTTTTTCTTTGTGTTCTATGACAGCTCCTCTAACCCAGCTCCCACAAAGGAGGCAAGGCAGACAAGAAATAGACAGAGCATGCCTCGAACCTGGGTTTAATTGGGGGAGGCTGTTCCATGGAATATTCTATTTTCAAAAGGGAAAAGGGGTAGGATTACAAAGGAATAGGTGAGTGTAACTCAACCTCAGCAGTGACACCTACTCTTGCAGCCACTCCTTGTTATCTGAGTTGGGGTAACGCCCAAGTTACTGAAACCTAGCACTATTGTGCCAGATTGAAGGCAATAATTGTTCAGAACCCTGGTGCATCAAGACTTAAAGGCGTATGCATCCAGGGTAGCTCCTGACATATCCCCCCTTTCTTAATAAAGAAAAGGCAACTGGGGAATTATGTCTTTCAGTCACTGGATTCTTGGTCTGAGGTCATCATAACCTCCTATTGAGAAAGGAATTAGTAGGGGAAAAAAGCCATTAAGAACATACCATATATAATGTTTCAACATATTTAGAATTAAATTCATTTAATTAACTGTGGAAGATTCAGGTTATTATTATTACTCTGCCAAACACTCATCATAAGATTATTAATCTTTTCCCAATTTTATTGGGAAGCATTGTGTAACACAGACATTTTTATTTGGCATGGCATTTAAGCCTTTCCACAAACCATAGCATAGAGAAGAGGGTTCATTTACATCAGTCATTATAGTGGCTTCTAGAGCATTTTAACTTAGTTTCAATCTTTCCATCAGCACTTAACTATGAAGTATTTTGAAAGTAATTTAAGTCTATTAAGAAAATCCATATGTTGTAAGTTTTAAAACATAGCCATAAAGGCTGTGATTGTAGAAACAATGAATAATATTTTAAATAGTCCCTTCAAGGATTATGAGATCAAGAACTTGCTTAGGTCTGGTTAATTGGCATGCACCTGTTTCAAGCCCTGAAAATTAACTTCAGCATGCTAGCATAGGACAAAGGAACATTGATGGAGAATCAATCTCCTTTCCCCTACTATAACTAGTGCTAAAATTAGGCAAGTTGTACCTTTTATAGGTTATAGGATATTTAACCATCCTTTCTCTCAATTCTCACATTTAAGGAGTCTTTTAGGTCTGTCAGTAATGTAAATATTCTGAAGGCAGAGGTGAAACATCAAACATCCTTTGGGATGCCATCTCCCTGAGGGTTGAGGTTTATAGAAGTTATGGCATCCTCACGTGATTCTTGGAGACCAGCCTAAAATATATCCACCATTTCTAGACACTTTTCATTATACTGACAGGACGTTTGACAATTCTTCCACTTAGGTAAAGTGCCAATTTCTATTGTAGAATGATTAGGGCAATAATATATTGGTGGATATTTTATGCAAATAACTGGCCTGTATAGAAAAGTTCTATTTCAATGATCTTTCTATCTTGACAATTATCCAGATATATAGTCTTAATTTCTAAGGACCAGCATGATTGGCTGGTTTAGGTTTCTCATATGCTGTCTTTTCTCAAAAGATACTCCCAGACAGCCTGTTTACCATAGGATCAACATATAGATATAACTGGCTATTATACTCACTACAATTAATCTAGTTACATGGGTGGATTTTCCAGTCCACACTGCAATGCACATTAAAGGTGGACCTGAGAGATGGGTCTACAGAAGTCTCTTCATAATTTTTACTTATATGACAAGCCTGTATAGCTGCATGGCTGTAAATTCTGCAGCTGGGAGATTTACCTTGCCTGTGTCATGGTTTTCTTTTTTTTTTTTATTTATTTATTTATTTATTTATTTTTAATTTTTTTTATTGGTTGTTCAAAACATTATAAAGCTCTTGACATATCATATTTCATACATTAGATTCAAGTTGGTTATGAACTCCCAATTTTACCCCAAATACAGATTGCAGAATCACATCGGTTACACATCCACATTTTTACATAATGCCCTATTAGTAACTGTTGTATTCTGCTACCTTTCCTATCCTCTACCATCCCCCCTCCCTCCCCTCCCATCTTCTCTCTCTACCCCATCCACTGTAATTCATATCTCTCCTTGTTTATTTTCCCATTCCCCTCACAACCTCTTATATGTAATTTTGTATAACAATGAGGGTCTCCCTCCATTACCATGCAATTTCCCTTTTCTCTCCCTTTCCATCCCACCTCATGTATCTGTTTAATGTTAATCTTTTCTTCCTGCTCTTCCTCCCTGCTCTGTTCTTAGTTGCTCTCATTATATCAAAGAAGACATTTGGTATTTGCTTTTTAGGGATTGGCTAGCTTCACTAAGCATAATCTGCTCTAGTGCCATCCATTTCCCTGCAAATTCTATGATTTTGTCATTTTTTACTTTTTCATGATGGCTGGTTTAAACTCTATCTTTTGAAATTTGATTTAACTTACTAAATCATTTTCAGCAGCAGTGAGACTCTCAATATCACAATTAAGAGAAAATTTTTAAAAATATTTTGTAAGATCTATTATGTGCCTGTAGGGTCCTGTTTCCTCCCATTTTTAATATATTTACACTGAATGAAACGCTAGCACAAGTCATTATTAGTTTAATAATAGACAATATTACAGTATTTAAATAATAAGAAAAGATTTATTATCTCTAGCTGGCCATGAAACTTGACAAAAGTTTTTTAAAGGGACTATGGCAAATGGAAACTTAGTCTTTATTAATGGTATGACTCGATTTTGACTTTCATGGGATTATCAGAAATAGAAAATATAATAAGATGTATATGGAAATTTTATATTTTGAAATTTAGCCTTGGATTAACTTAAATAATCATCTTAATTTGGGATGAGGCTAGTGACAGAGTTTTTATCTTACAAGCTGTGGCCTTTACTAGGGGCATGAGAAATTTATACACATCTATCCAAAATAGGGAGTACATATGCTAAATAAGCCTAGATAAGATGTTTTGTTTTTGTTTACCATTAACAAAGAATGAAATACAAAAATTAATAGTCTTTTATCTATGAATCCATGAAAAACTGTCATTATTGTTATCAAACAATATGACCTAAGTAAGGGGAGTTAATATCTCAAATGTTAATGGATAAAGACAAGTTAACAGTGTTGTTTAAGACAGTGATCTAATTTAAAATTTTATAGGACATTGAGCTAGCAATGGCATTTTGAGGGGTTTATGTCAAAGTAATTTTTGTGTATAAGAAGCAAAACATGAGCATCCTTAATAACTTTATTTAATGTAGTGAAATTAGTTCAAACAATTATTATAATTTATGGTTTTATCAATTTTAAAAATATCAATGTATGGAGGGAATTACCTCATATTTTTGAAGTTGAAAAAAGGTCTATCATATTAAATTTCTTATTGAAATTAGCTATCGGCTGTTGAGCTGATTTATTTAGGGCTGCCTGTCTAATATTTTAGGGGTAACTATTTTTAGGGTTATTTTCCTCAATAACAAATTGTTGACAAGGGCTTTAAGTAAGGCCCTGTTTCAATGTTTAGAGGCTTCCAAAATCTGTTTTTAACTTAGAAGAGGAGTAAAATTTTTAACTAGGAAGCTTATTGTTCTTGGGGTAAGATTAGGATTTTAATCTCTTTCTGTCTATATGATTTCATTTCTTTTTCCTCATTTGGGCTCCATTTAACTATGCTATAACATCTAAACTTGACTAGGACTATGTTAACCTTTGCAAATCCCTTGGAATGTCTAGGGCTAACTGGATGATAAACTCATCCCTTGAAAATGGGTGACCCCCTATAAGTTTAGGTGCTGTACTATCTCTTTAAGTCTCTCCATGAAAATAGTAGGATTTTTTTCTAAAGGCTTACTTAAAAAAAATTTTTTAGACATTTTGTTTACCTGTTAGATATCTGTTTGGGGGAGTTGTCTGTGCTCCAAATAGATTATTAGGTTTGTTCCTATTCTGTGTTATTGGGACATGGTTAAGATAAATCTCTTTTAAAACTGTTTTTAAGATGGCTCTCTATTTTAAAGTTTAGCTAAGTGCCTCTTTAGATAAGGTTAGACATCTGGTATAAATTTTGAAATATTACAATACATGAATTTGGATCTCTCGGAAATCTCCCTGAATTTGTTTTAGTCTATATTAAGTTTGAGAGGTTCCCTTCGATCTTTCTTTCTAGTAGGTAATTTTTAAAGGCATGCTTTGATGATAGTAGTGTGGCTAGATATGAAACTGAGATATCTTTTATTGATTATTGTAATTTCTCAGCATATAGACTAACTGATCCATCCTAACAACTCAAAAAGAACCCTCAATCTCTTTCTGAGTGAAGGTCTCAAAATATCTCTATATCTCAGAATATTATTCTTTAAATAGGTGTCTCTTAATTGTCTTTAAAAACTATGATTGAGGTTAATTCCCAGTGTAGGGAGTAATATATAAGTCTTTACCATAATTTTTTATGGATATTAGGTCCAGTGAGAGAAATTGTATAATACCAATGAATTTCAAACAAAGTTTGCAACTTTTATTGTTCAAAACTAATGTACAACTTTAATTTAGAGAACACCAGTCCTAATAAAATATTCTCCTAAATCCCATAAATAGCCAAAAAATAGAAGTAATATGCAAGAATCAGCAGTATCTTTGAATCAATCAACTTTAGTCTCCAAGGAGAAGTGTCAAATTGGAGTTTAAGTCAGCATTTTAAAATATTTATTGTTTATTAAAGGATGTGAATTTATTCACTAAAATTAATCCTTGTCTTAAACATTAAGAATCACTAGACAAAGACCTTACTTAATGTAAATAAACTTAACATTTTAATAGGTTTTTATCATGTCAAAATA